ACTTGTTTTTCTTTTATCAATAAATTTTTTGCCAGTTTGATCAGGTACCAGCCACAGCTAGCACAAGGGAAAAGGCCAGAGGAGACAACCCCTCTCAGCACTGAGTTAGATCAGCTCACTCGCAGTGCAGAAATCACCCCTTTCAGCCACTGGAGAGGAATGGTAGGAAAGCTCTAAAAAACTTGTATGAACTCAAAACTATCCATGCAGAACATACATGTACATATAAAACCACATATGCACAATCCATTTGACATGGAGACTTTTCTGGTTAGAAAGAGAGGTCTGTATTCCTGTCATGGGGTAAGCAGTGTACCACTTCTTCCAGTCTCTCATTCTAGTTGAGCACCTAAGGTATTTTAAGCCCAGGTTCACAACAGGAGCTTAGGTCCAATGCAAATAAAGACATATTGATTTTCTAACCATAACTAGGCACAGGTCTTAACAGAAAAACAGTAGATAGAAGCACCAAAGGTGAGATGATAAATTGAATCCTAACTCCAGTTTTCCTCCTCACCTGTCTGTTCTTATAAGGCAGGTTACTACTAAAAACAACAAAAAAAATATATACCAATAATCAACTGTGTGTTCTTGTTCCTGGTGAGATGCTACAAAAAATTTGCCTGCAGGAGCAGAGAGGATTAAAAAATGCTCTTAAAAATGCAATTTTCCCCTTCTGCACTCCTTGCTTTTCCTAGCTACATTGGTAGGATTCATGCATCAGGTGCACACAATTTTATTCTTTTTTCAGAAGATGCTTCAGCCAGATTTGTTTGTTTATTTTACCTAGGGCTATTTTTATTTTTTTTTTACTTTTAAGCTAGGACCCTAAATCCTGGTATAAGATAAGCAGTAGCCCATGGCATTAATTCTACTGAAACCCAGCAAGGCAGGAAAGGGCACTCTCAACCTGGTTCCGAGCAGAAATCCTTATGGCACAGCACATACACTGTTATCTCACCAGGCTGACCTCCAACAGGGCTATGATTTTTGTCCCTTGAACAGGCTTCCCAGATGTGCTGTGGAAATGGATCCCCTACCAGCACACCCTAATTAAAGCTACAAGCAATCAAGGTTTACTCTGTGTCAAACACCAACGCACAAAAGCACTTGGCAAAGAAGGGCTGAAAGTAGCAGGGGCCACAGGGAGCATTGCTTTGAATTACAAAAGCATTTACCTACAGAGTGAGATTTACACTGAAGCTTTCTCTGCCTGCAAAAGGATTTTCATGTCAGCAGCCAGCCCTATCTTAATTATGGTTTTCAAAGCCTGCCTCTTACCTCCATGATTTCCTTTCTTGCACGGGATAAGAAAATTCAACCTCCAGAGTGGTATCCATGGTAGGATTCCTAGTTTACTGGGTGCGCAGGGAAAAGTCTTGGCACCTGGCAGACTGTCCAATCCCCACACGGCAGGAAGGGAGCCGTGGCCAGGCAGAGTGCCCAGGGATGTTCATCTCCACTGGAAAGCAGAATCTATGGCTGGTAGCTCTATGACAACCTCTGGTTTTTTACTCCCATCTATTCCTTCCCCTTGTTAATCTAAGAAAAATGAAAAAACTCAGATACAGTTATATATCTCAACCATTACTTCGGGCCCAATCCAAATTCTAACTTAATCAATCTGTTTAGCCTATTAAGTTTTCCTCTTTCTTTTTGATGAATGCTGTTTTCTTCACCCCTTACTAAAATACCTACATTCCCCAAAAGAAAGGTAAATATCCCCTATTCTATCCCGTCATTAGGTTCTTCCTAGCCACTCCTGACAGCAAACCAAAAATCAGTAACTGTTTAAGAAGTTCTTACTGTTTATAGGAGAGTACCTTAAACCATTTGACTCAAAAGGAGGTTAAAGACCCTCAGTGCTTTGTTAGCATAAGCGTTTTGTGGAAAGGAAATTCCTTCAGAATGTGCAACTTCCCGTTAATTTCTTTTCCAACCAAGATCAGTAATAGAAGTAATATCTACTTATATCTAACCTTCTGGATAACCAAAGCCAATGATCATTTGAAAGAAAAGATACAGATGATCTCTTGATGATACAGATTCAGTTAAACCAAGGCAAGTGTCTTACCACATAAAAGAAAGCAAACCATTACGATACATTCAGTCATATTCTACATATGACTCCATCTTTTCACTTTACAGTGGTTCATGAAAAACTTTTACACTACCTATAGTCTTTGTCCAGTTTCAATCCACGCATGAGATTTAGAAAGTTGTTTGGACATTTATTTTTAAGTAGAACCATCGCTATTTCTTTGAGACTTTCAAAAAATAGTGTACAACCAAAACCTACCTTTTTCTACTTATAAAAATGATAAGATTGCAGCAGATACATTACTATTTACCTGCCTGGTTGAAAGAATGTTTGCACAAGTACCACCAGCAGAGGCACGAGATTTGGCAGTATTTAAGGAAACAGCAGCTGCATCCTCTGGTTGTTGATGTATTAGTCTGGACCAAAACCACTGTTTTAGGTGAATGGACGGGTTGCTGTACACATGCTCTTAAGAAGCACTGCTCAAAACTTGGAAGAGTATTCTCTATGTATTAAAATGCCACAATAACTCTCAGCTTTCCCAAAACCAAAAGAAAACAGGCTAGTATACCTGAAGGGCTCTGCACTGTACATACCTTTCTCTCTCCATTTCCCCTCCCCAAAAGCAAGGAGGTAAGCTTTGCAGCATGCTCTGAACAAATAATTTCAGATTAAAAAAAGAATGGACTTTAAAGTCTAGAACCTTTCAAAAACCAACAATAAAGCAATAAAAACAAAAAACCAATAAAGACCCCACCACCTTGTCAGCAGCCACCTCCCTAGTTAAACCAAAAAGCCTGTTAATGTGGAAATTGTTCAAAATCTACAGAAGGAAAAGGCAATCTGTATGGGGGATATCCCTAGTTTAAATGCAGCTAGGTTATATAAGGTGTAAAGATAGACAGGAAAATAAATAAATGAAAATAGACCTAAAAATACATTTTCAAATGTGAAAAAACTTTTTTAATATCAGTAGTATCTCCTGTTATTTGGCTGATTGCTTCTGTTTGTTGGATTGCTTGGGGTTCTTTTGCTTTGGCTAGTAGATTTTGTGCCTGGCCACTCAGAAAAAAACCCTTCCCCCTTTAACAGTCCAGAAATGGAAGCTTAATGGGAAAGAATATTCTGGTCTCACCTCTCCAATTAGAATGTCAATCCACATTCTTGAGTTTCCACATAATAAAGACTTTTATTTATATAAAAGCAATGAGATGCAAAATAACTTTACAACTCCTACAAAAGTGAAGTATAAGCAAAAATATCAATTATGACTTGTACTCATAACTTTACAAAAGCATTTATCAGTTACACTGACTGCATAACTGCAGTTATAACAATATCTTGCAAATATATGAAGCCTACTACATATTGTCATATTTTGCCATCAGCATAAATCCATGTGACTCATTACCTTTTTTCTAAAGGTATCACCTAAAGCAACACCTGAACACAGATACCAACAGAGAGATGTGTTAACAATATTATCAATATATTTCAATATTATTAGAAAGACACATTATTTACGGCGTTATTCCTTGTCTCCTACTGCTGTAACTATATTGCTGTTTATAAACTGAAAAGTTTTTAAGCCTTAATTGAAACAGTTGATTTCCTGTTTTGGAGTGTACTGCATTGACTGCATTTGCAGAATCCAAACTACTGAGCCATCTGCACCACAACTGCTTTCCAGGCTTTGTCTTTGTCAAAATCCTTCAAGGTATTATTGGAAACCTAAAAGTAAACAAATTTCAGACAAATGGAAACATGAAACAATGCTTTGGTTAAAAACTGAAGTTCAAGCAAATAAATATCTGGGAGAACATAAATGAATGTAAATATGAACAGTTACAGTCAGAGCTATGAAAATATTCTATGCATTGTAAATTGTATAGTTTTGTATATTGTACAGTATACATTTACGATATCAAATATAATGGTGTAAATTGTATAATACTGGAGACATTTAGTTCACAGAAACTTGGCCAAATTCCTATTTTAAACGTGTTAGTTTGGACATTTTTTTCAAGAGTTCTGCCAAAATGTGACTGAAAGCCCTAGCACCTAAATGTCTAAACCCAAAGCCAGAAGGAGCCCCCTACAGTGCAACTGAAGCAATATCCATCTACATATATGCAAGCAAACTAAGGTTTTACCTAAGAACACAGACTTCTTGAGAATCCAAAGGGACCTACAACTTCACCTGTAACACTATTCATGTGTTTAAATAATAAAAGGTAAGCAAAAAGGTGTTGCTTTTCTGAACAAAGTGCTCCTTTTAGCATTTAACTAGCACCTAATTTCTCAGTGACTCACAAACTAGGCATGCTTATGTAAGTAGTCCCGGGAAGAGATCTGTTTAGCCATGCCACAACCCATGCTCCAAAATGTGACTTGCAGCAGTGGAAGTGCTGCTGTACTTCATCTTTTATACAGAACGTAACTCCCAGGACACAGATCCAGAAAATAAGCAACCTACACCAAATGCCCTCAGCAGCCTGCGGGGACATAAGTTCACAGCTCCCACTTTCCCTTACCAGCGGTATAATGACTTCACTGAATTTCCATCCCAGCTCCAAGTCCTGCCTATTCAGTGTTGTTTCAATGCAGATGCTCGCTCTAGAGCGGGGACTGAATCCAGCACTCTCTTTCTAGTGCTAGGACATGCCATAAGCATCCAGATAACGTGAGTTACTCTCTCCTAGTCTTTAAGGAGACAGCGCCTTGCTCTGTACAGCAGAGGTGAGGAAAGCCTAAGGGCTGCAGTGCTGTGCTAGGATATTGATGCAGTTAACCTACACAGGCTGAAGAAGGCTGGGTTCCCCCAGTCCTTGAAGTAGCACTCTAACCCTGAATGGACTACATGAAAAGTGGTAACAGTAATAATGGCACCACCATGCTCTAAAAAAACCTGTGTGCCAAAACTGTATCTGAAAGGATAGCTTGAACATGTAAGTGCAGGACGGAAATAGAGGGAAGTATCAATTCTGATATTTATCACCAACTTTGGTAGTGTAGTTAGGACATGGAGAGACCTGGGATTCCAGGCACCCTCCTCTGCGTACTATTTCATACTGTCTGGCACAGGTAGCCACTCAGCTTGCCCACTGTTGTTCCTGGGCTCTTAATTCCTCCCATTCTCAGTTTAGCAAACTTAAAGTGAACTAACTGGGCTTAGTAAATTCACTCCCCCAGAGCAGGCCTTGGAAAAGTACAACTATATTGAGTACTCTCATTCCATAGCCCAAAACTTCTGCTCACACTGAAAGGATTAAGCCCATTCCTTTCTTAATAGATGCTATCTCATTATCAGAGCATGGTCATGCAAGGCCCATCAACTTTTCTGTAACTTCATTCTGACATATAAATAGCAATTATGGATGTGCATCCTGTTGACTAGGACAGCAGGACTATCATTTACCTTAGTACAATGATGAACCTCATGTATAATTGGGAGCCCATACTACAAATAAGAACAAAAGGGGGCTTTAACCTTACAACTGTTTTTCTCTTAACAGGACTTGTCACAGATTTAAGATATTGAGTCTGTCATGCCCCAGTTATCATTTAACCAGCAAAACATTATCTCGTTATTAGAAAATTCACCAGTGCATTAACATCTTTATGGTTTTACAGAGCAGCCTTTAATTGTGATCTGAATTAAGTAACACAAAGCATTACAAAAAATACTTTTTTAAATACAGATTTTTAAATTTTATAATGGGTATACATACATACCTCTGTTGTTCTGTATTCCTGTTTTTTAACCTGTGATGCTGTCCACGACGAATCATGTAGTTTCATTTTTGTCTTGTAATTTACACACTGTATTACAGTCCCAATAGTAAGGCATGCCTGAATTAGCAGCATCAACATCAGAAGCAACAGGAGTACATCATAAGACTGCTGAAAATAGAGACATTAAATATGTTAACTACTTGAATAAAATATTTTCTGCTGTTCCCACCCCTTGAGATTTGTACTTAGATTCATTTTTTAACTCAAATTATAATCTAGCTTATTTCAGCATGAAGCTTCAATTAAAATTTGAGTGCCTGAGTTTGCTCAAAGTAGAACAGATAGATAATTTTTAATAAAATGTTAATTTGCCAAATAATCTTTTCCTCTAGAAATAGAACAGAATTGAGGAAACCATCCTCTAAGATAAGGAGACTCACTGCTGGTTCTGACCTGAGCTATGCCTGGGCCTGCCCCTGTGCCTTGCTGGCTCTGACCTTGCCCTTCTGACTTGAATTCCTGGCTGACCTTGGATCTGCCTCACTACTACGGACTTGTCTGGCAATCACTGAACTGTTGCTGAACCTGGTTACCATGGCCAGACCTGTCTTGGTTTTGGTTTTTTGGGTACTGTAGGACTACACCCCTTGCCAGTGAGGTCACTGTCCTTGTCAGCCTTGCCGTCACCTTCTGCTCCATTGTTCACCCTCCTTTGCAGAGTAGCTCACTCTTGCTGCATCCAAAGTAGCCTAAGAATACAAGGAATACTCTACAGGGTGACATCAACTGTCCAGACAGTCCAGCCTTCTGTCTCCAACATGTGTGACTGGAGAAGCTACTTAAAGAGAGCATGCAAGCCTTGGCCACTTCCCGAGGTCCAACAAAACACTCCAGTATCAGAACAGGATCACATACTCAAAAGCTGGTTTTCCAGTCCCTAAGACCTTTTTAATAAATATTTTCCCTCTCTTCTTCTAATATTGCAAGACTACTTAAGGAGTAGTGGGTACTAAGAGTCAAGACTCTAACTGACAGTATTTTAATCCCCATAAATGGCTCTTTGAAATCATCACAGACTGCTAAACACTTTGACAGTAAAGCCCTAAGCAGCTCTTCAGCAATGCACTGGTAACACTTCATATTGAAATGCTTTAGTGTTTGCAAACTTCTTTTCTATTCTGCCCCAATCCAAGCTCTGAATGAATCCAGCTGTAAGCTTACAGTCCCGACATGCCATTCTAAGAAACAGAAAAAAGCATTCTTCAAGTAAACTTAGAATCTTTAATTTATATACTACAAATTTATAAAAACTTCAAGGAGTCCAGCATATTACATATTATTTTTACTGGTTCTTTAGAATAATATCCCATTGTTTATAAACTACAGTTCCAGGGTGGGAACTGATTTAGCACGCTCAAAATTACATCATTAGTCAAATAAGAGTTTTTGAATAATTTCTATAACATTTTATTCAATCTTCACAACGCAGTAACTTGTCTTCTTATACTTCCTAATTAATTCTTGTGTTGCTACTGTAATAGGTAGATGTTAATTTTTCAATTCCATAAAAATACATACTTTAACAGCAGGTGGATAATTTTTAAAGATGTCAACAACTTGCATGATACTGAAGGATAAGTATGCAGAAGCTGTGAACAACAATGGAGAGATAACACTGCTAATGGCAATCAGGACCTCAACCTGAAAAATAAGATAATAAATGTTAGATAAGAATAAAAACAATTTAACACTTTGGTTTGTGAGCTCTATCTCCTTGAAGTAAGCATAACAGAAGTATGTAAAAGTCTGTAAGATTACACATGAGACAAATATTAAAAGCCATCTACACTGCATTGAGATACAGAAGCAAGCTTTGAATAAATTATGCTTCCTAGCCAAAACATTGTTGTTTGGTAATTCATTTTCCATTTAATATGGAAATGGAGTTTTTGTTTGATTTTAAAAGTGCCTTTCATATGCAGATAGAGGAAACAATACCCAATTTAGAGAGCCAGTATAGAAGCATCACTTATTCATTAGTTTGTACAAAATAACGAGAATTAACAGCAGATACTGCAGACTTACAACCTAAAATAACTATGCAAATAAATTTGAGTGCTTTGAGGCAGATTTATTTCAATACAATAGCAGCCGCGTTTTCATTCAAATATTATCCTACAGGATCAAATTCTGACTTCAGTTGTGGTCATGCATCATTAGTGACTTAAATACAGTTGCATGACTAGAACTTAGAACAGATGTTTTTACACATGTGGGACAGTCAAGGAATAAATGAACTCCACTGAATATTCTTAGCCCTTGTTGCTAGTCATGCAGATGAGGAATTTGCTTAAAATAGGTTCTAGGTCCAGCCTGCACATGTAATTTTCTTCCTTCAGAAGCCATAGCTCATAACGAAAGGAGAATGGAACAGAAATGACCTCAGGTCAGGATCATGAAAGCAGTTCTGGGCATACCATATGAAGTATATAATTTTCCTATAGTAATATCCATTCCCAAGGAACCAGTACAAAAAACCCAACAAACAGTCCTTTGAATTCTTTTCTAAAATTCATGGAATTAAGTTTCCAAATGACCTACTGGATTTCTTTTCAGGAATATCAGCTTACACTCGTGCTACATATTTCTGTCACATTTTGTAGAAGTAACTAAAAACAAGTGAGCAAATACGAGTAGTGCCCACTATCACCGGCAGGCTTTCTTAGCATTATTCCACTCTAATGACAAAATTGAAGAATTTTACACACTTACCAGACATTTACTTGGATATTCAGCAGCTACATGACTTGCAATAGCACTTGGAAAGCACTAAACAAAAAAGCATAACAAAATATTTACCTACTTGAGAACTACACAAATTACAATGGAGTTACAGTGACTCCCACTAGTCACAGACCACATCCTAAATTTCCCAAAAGGTAAAACTGTATAGACTTGTTATGACAGTATTAGGAATCAATTAGTCAAATGGAGATAAAAACAATCTTCATTTAACTTTCATTTAATGAGTATCATGTATTAAACCTACACATACTGAAATACAATTATCCCCAAACCTTGACACTTTTACATAAAAACCTAATGAACCCTACTGAACTTTGTGAATTCTGAATGCTGACAAACTTGTTTATGATCTCTTTCCACTCCATGCTAAGCGATTTTCCAGCCATAGTAGCCATACGTAAATCTAATGTTCATTGCCTTCTTTCTCAGTGGTTCAGTTCGTGACAAGCAGGGTAGCACAGTGTCCTTTAGGAATCCACTGCTCCTAGGTACAGGCTGTTATTAGTGATGAGGGTTACCAATCACAGTCTCAGGCTTGTAAGACATTGAAGGCTGACAGGCTAAAGATGATGCTCTAAGGATTCTACCACACTGGAACTCAACTCAACTTTTTATTTCGCATCCTGAAATATTCTAAAACCTAGGACTTTTTTGACAAAACACTTCATTAATACCTTTGTTTTACTACTCATTTCCATTTTACTGAAAATGTATCAGAAAAACGTATAAGAACCAAAGTACTGTAAATCAAAATAGAACAAGCATATTACATATATATATATATATATACTACATATAATGATAAGCTAATTTATTTGCTAAGCAGCAATTGCCAAATAGTATTAGGGCCAACCAAATATTTCAGTAGGGACGGGAAAAATGAAAAAAAAAAATTTTTTTTTTTTAAAATCTTCAAGAAAATCAAAAGGCATTGTTTTAAAAGAGTGCCTTCATTTTGCACTACTTACAGCAACTAAGATCCAAAAGAATGTTACTGAAAGATATGGACCTGAGACTAGAACATCCATATTCAGAGCAATTATACCACCAAATACTGATGAAATTCCAATAATCACCTCAATTACCTAAAAGAAAGAAGAGCACACAAATTATTAATAGTGCATTTGAACACCAAATTTCCTATCTGCATATAGAAACAAACTCACCGGAAGGAAAAAAATGCATTTGTGCTATTAGCTATGCATGAAGTCAATGTTTTTCAAATCTAAAACTTGGCAAAATTCCAGCTGGCTTAAGTGAAAACAAGATCAGCTTCATTATACATATTTATGTTCTCATTTATTAGCTCCACTGAACAACAGTTCAGTTTACACTATTTATCCCTAAGTCATTAAGTAGTCTCCTTCCTATTATACATGGCAGTTATCATTTATCTTGCAATATTCTAAAAGGAAACATTTTAAGATATATCTCTCATTTCTGTCTTTATTCTTTCAGCTCTCACCTATGCTGATCTCCTTCTGGCCTTAAGGAAGCTTAGCACTTAGATGAAAGAACAAATTGATTTAATGAAAGAAAACAATGCTTTTCTTACTGAGTATGACTTCAGAATTCGGGTAGGAAAGCTGACATTGCTCAAAACGATGGTACTGTCACATGCAGTATTCTAGAGAGGAATAAAAAATCATGATCAAAAAATACACAAAGCAATAAATTTCTTTCTAATATCCTGTACAGCCTGTTACAGTGGCATGAAATGCCTGGTTGGCCCATCGGAGCTGATAGTGACACACCATGGTGTTCACCAGTGTCAGACCACATCAATCACATTAAAAACAAATGAGGTAGTCCCAGATTAGCTGGTATACAACCACTGTTCAACAATGAAATACGGTCATCTTGTCTCCCCTTTCCACTTCCAGAATACATACTTCCTTCCTGAGCCTTCAGATTTTACTGATGTGGATAAGTAAGGAGGACAGTACAGTACACAACTTTAGCAAGCAAGCAATACTTCCACTGGCACACAAAATGGCACAGCACATTTTCTACATTACTACCTAAAAGAAGTACTGTTGTAGAAAAATGAGGGTGGGATTTGGGAGAGCACTTGTGACTAAAGAAAATTTTATCTATAACCCCAAATCCTGAAGCCAATATTCAATGTCCAGATACCACCAAATCAGCATACGTGACAAATACTTTCTCCACCTCAGGCTTCAAAAAGGCATTGGTTGCACACATACAAGTCATACAGTTACATACATACATACAGTACTCTAATGTTTCATATGTCATTAAGTTTTGGTCTACAAAACAGAAATAAAACATTTGCCATGCCTGTTCATAAGATATTCAAACAATCCTGTGCTGTATAATTGCAACAGGTCATTTTGCAGAGGTCCCACTTAAAGATAGAAGAGGCTATTACTCTTTAGTATGGCACTTTTATTTATTGTTCAAATTAGTTTTACCATGTAATATGAAGTTATATACTGGTGTCATCAGTAACTTGTCAACATATGTAATACAGGAAAAATCTAATATTTTTTACCACAAAAAAAAAAAAAAAAAAAAAAAGACATTTTTTAATCCTTAAGGGTACCTACTTTCTTTCTCGTACAGCAGTCTTCAGTAGACCTAGCTGAAATGATCACAGTAGTTGCCATGAAGATTTCCAGCAGAATAAGTAGAATCAAGTTGAAATTTATCTGTCAGTAAAATCCCAGATATAAATGAGTTACACCTTCCATATTAAAAATAGAGGGGGCAGGATCTAGCAGAATCCAGCAGTCCATTTTCCGTGACATTTAGACATATCTATTAATTAGATATTTTGTTCACCATTTTCTTGGTTCTTGATTAATTTCTAGGACAACACTTAGCTGTCTACATGTTACTCAGAATGCCTAACCTAAGAAACATTTATTTCACTTACGGAAATACTCTGCCTGAAGGTTTTATCACTGTCTTACAGAAGAGCAATTAATGACTACGGGGTGATTGCTGGGTACGTTTGCATTTTGCAGGACCATCCCACGTGAAACCAGAACACTGCAGCAAATCACGGAAGATTCACAGGAACAGAAAGAGGTCCAACAAGCCTGACTAGCCCAGGGGCTAAGGCAATCCACTGCATGGGGGAAAGGAGGGGCACAGAGCATTGATGAACACTCTTCGTGGTTTCATAACTCTTGCAGGTCTGACAGACTACATTATTGTGCAAAAACATGGATGCTGCCATTCCTTCTGCCATTGCTCATCTTCAAGAGACAAATAAGTGTAATACTTAATATTTCTCTGCATTTCCTTAGTGTCCAATGAAAAGAGGTAGATACCTACTCTACATGGGCTGAATCATTTCCTAGATGCATGCAAGTTAGGCAGAATGGATCTCCCTCTCTTGTCTTCAAAAGCATGTTTTTCACTGGCAGCCCAAGAAAACATTTGGTGGTTAAGTCCATTGGGCAAAGTACCAAAAGTTTAGGGAAAACTGACTCTATTCAGAACCTATACAATTATAGCAAACCATTGTTCAACAACTTGAAACAGAATTATATTGTTCCCTCATGTCAGACCTGCTTTGTAGATGATCAATTCTCATTTTTTTGTCTGAATCATATCTTGCAGCACATGTTTTCTGAAAAAGATCATTAAGCGGCAGATCTGAGAGGCTTTTTTGAGCACTCAAATCCACCCTTCCTAGGAAATCATAACTGGAATTATGTGCCTTGCCATGCATAACAGACTGTACAGTTGTACTAGAGCCACAAACAGCAATAAATGTCACAGTGCTAAGCTTCTAGGGAAAGTGCTAGCATGAAGAATAAAGACATTATTTGGCAAAATAAGAGGTGTCAAACATGTGGCCTGCAGAACAATTTAATCCAGCCTGTAAATTCCCATGATTTGGTTGTGTTGTGACATATAGTGCTGGTACTGATGTGGACTGGCAAGGCCACACTATACAGTGCAGTGCCAAGTAGATGTACAAGTTTGAGTCCAGAAGCACTATAACTACATTGATGGACTAGCTCATTTAGTGCTAGCTGTAAGAAGTAAGCAACAGAAATTGAAAAAATTACAGTAAATTAATTAATTTTTAAATTTTATCTTTCCAGTATTTTTTTTTTTATTATACGACATGTCTAGAGTATCAGATAGAGCCTTCCACTCATCAAATTAGTTGAATACCCCTAGACCAAAGGAAAAATATCTCATCTCCAGTTTTGGAGTTTGGGTGGGTTTGTTGGTTTTATTTTTTTAAACAGAAATACAGCTAGAGCTAGAAGTAAGTACCTTTTTATACCACCTGCAACAATGGGAAATTCAATGTTAGATTTCTAAGCGCTAAAGAAAATTATCTCTAAAGCTACCACTATACATAAAATCTACCACCAGACGCAGAGAACCAAGTAAGCTGTGCCCCTAATCCTCTTCCATGACTAAGGAACATGCAAGTGCAAGTAGGTAGAAAGTAGTAGATTAGCAGAACCTTAATCCAGTTTGCTCTGAACCTGGACTAGGTATTAAAAATGCAGTTCACTGAAACAGTATGAAAGCGCTGAATTACTTTCAAGATTAAATAATTTAAAGTTTGATATAGTTGCTTAAATGCATACTTTTAACATGATTTAAGATATCATACAGATGCTTCAAGACATCTGCACAGGTCTGACAAATAATGACAGAGGACCTGAAGGAGACTGAAGCCCTCTTAGACCAGTAGCTGGAGTGAGGCAGGACAAGCCAGCACATATCTAATGGACACACACATTTGGTTAGGCAACCAAATCAAGCACCTACATACACTCCAGTATCTGTGTGCACCCACATGGCCTAGGCTTCCACTACCGTCAGTGGAGACCTATTCCATACAGACAAGAAAGGGAACCTCAAAAGCTACTGGGCCAACCAGTCACTAGAGATGGGGTTCAATTACACTGGCTGCTAGTGCCATTTGAAATACTCAAGTGTATTGCACGTGCCTGCATGAGTGGGATGTGTGACACAGGGCTGATGGGAGACCCTCACCCATCCAGAGTAGAAGCAGCAGTCAGGCAGAACATCTCACAGCACCTTTAAAATAAGAGATGTCTAAGTTAAGGCCTCAGAATCCTGCCCTAGCCTTCTACACTGAGGCAAACAAGATTGTATTGCAGGGTCTCAGTGACTGGATCATCTCAACTATAACGAAGGTACAGACACTCGGCTCACAAGAAGACAATAAATGGATGTACTCATTTTGGAGTTAATTTGAATCCTGTTCAAGATCTGAATCCTTTCTAGATGCAGCAGCCACCATGCACGAGGTTCCACTCATTTTTGTCGATCAGGCTTCTCACTGTGAGAGCTGGGAAGGAACAGAGTGGCAGCAGTGGCAATTTGCATCTTTCATGCATCGCATCCTTCATGTTGGTCGCATACTCACTACAGAACTGCACACTGCTGGAGTGGTGCCACACAGTCACAGCCCAGGGCATGGCTTGTATCTAGCATTCCATTTATCCATCTAAAGCAATTTTGTAGAGTAATCCATCAACACAAGTAACACTAATGAAGAATTACCCAGGTCCTTTATAAAGTGGGGGGAGTTAAATATTAATAGTCTTAATTGGATAAACTTAGCCTTTTTACAAGTCTTACTGCTTTTAAGTTACTGGCAGTGATTTCACATCAGACCTAGGTTTATTTTCTTGTGCAGTTTCCTGTGGGGAAGGAAAATAAATATGATGATGAAAGAACAGTTAAAGAGATGGTATTCAATATTTTCTTTGTACCACATGGGTAACGGAAAACAGCTGGCAGCGAACTGCCAGTGAGACTGTCTCACTGAATCAGTACCCTTCAAAGAGGAGAGCAAGTCAGCACTGTGAATAACTCCTAAGAGAGAAAGGTTCAAAAAAGCTTCAGTGCCAGCTTTGCACAGTTATCCTGACTTATCTTTATTCAGTGATCAATGACATACTACGAACATGCAATAGACAAGTGAAAAGAATTAAAAACCCATAACCAAGGATGTCTTGTGGATATTATTGTAGATAACGAACATTTGGCAAAGACAGAATTTGCCTTGTTATAAATTTAGTGTTTGTCACTTGGACTTTTCCAGTCTAATATAACCTCTTTTTTCAAATAGTTTGAAAATACAAGAACTGTTACTATTTAATAACAGAAAATGCAAACTTTTACGCAATCTAAAAACTACTCACTTCAAAAGTATGCAACTAAAGTTAAGCTCTTACACACAGGGCCAGCTCAAAGCTTCTCAAAAGCACAAGCAAAATTAATTTTGTCACACTGGGGCTCATGACAAAATAACTATTTATTGTGGTGGCAGAACGAGTCCCTTGGGCCCGCCTTTCCTGGGCAGACATAGCCCTCCCCTGTCCTGACAGCACTGTGATCCTGACTACCAGGGGAAGGGAATGCAAAGGGACTGGTAGCCTCCAGTCACCCTTCTCTGCTGTTTTCTTTCAGAATGCTTGGACTGGTTTCCAATATTTGAACTCTCTAGCAAGAAAAGAAGGGAAAAGGGAAAGGGCAGTACCCCCGTGTCTTGGATCTTAAAGGTCTTTTCCAACCTAAACGATTCTATGATATAATTCATTCAGCCTCAACAGGCTAAGACGTTTCAGGGGGCAAATGCATGAGGGAATAGCTATGCTAGCAATAAGCTAGCAAAGGCTGTGCAAAGAATTGACTGGTGTAAACTGTCCTGAGAAACACACAGAAGCCGGGGGGCCACGACATTTTCCCATCAAACACAGGGCAAAACTGCCCCATCTAAAGCCAGTACCGATTGAATTCAAGTGATCTGACCGTCCTGAGAGCTACATCGCCACAGCTCCGATTGACTGCAGTACTCCATCTCCTTGAAAATTGGGCCAGCTGCACAGAAATGTGAAGCTAGACATAGTTACCTAATTTATAAAGCAGGTTTGTAAGTATTGGCCTAATACATTGCACTTTCTGAGGGGAAGTAAACACAGTTAATTTAGAAGTTCAACATCTGTGAAATCTGGAGCTAATTAGCATAGATAACACCAAAACAAACTCTAGTCTGCACTATTTTTCTATTAGAAAAGTCTTTTGTTACTAACACTAACTCAGATCTGCTATATTATTATAGGGAGCCATTATTACTGCTGAGCTCTTAGCATCACAACAGCTGATATGATAGCAGGAGAACTGAACAATAGCATGAGAACAGCCATTAACCTTTATGCGAAATGTACGACATAGCTGTACTTGAGTACTGCTATTCTCCGATAGTTTACTATTAATATTCATCAATGCTAACGATAATAACTATTGCTATGTTATTTACTCATACATGCAATATTCTTATGTGGTATAGAGTCTCAATACATTTTACCATAGCAAAATAAGCTCAAACCACCCTATAATACTACTGTTTGGCTCAAACTACCGAAGAAAGTTGTTAAAAGGTTGTGACCCAAAACCAGTGAACTTTTCCCAGCATTAAATACATACGCTTCAAATGACCTAACTACTGCATTCTCTTTGTTGATGATGTATAAGAAAAATGTTCATCCAAAGTTTCTTTCCTGGTGACTTCACAAGCAAAACTATCCATTAAAGAAGATCCAGAAAAGGATTGTACTTAATCTGATGATGAAATGTGCTAGAAGTAGCACTGTTTGGGACACCTTGTCATTTCAGTACAATTCAACCCTAAAAGCTGGCTAATCTAAGATGAGCTACTAATTAATTTCCAATTTTCTCTTCTGACACTGCTCTTTAAAAAAAAAAAAAAAAAAAAAAAAAAAAAAAAAAAAAAAAAAAAAAAAAAAAAAAAAAAAAAACCACAACAAAACTACAGTCAACATAAACAACCAGTTGATTAAACTAGATCACATTTGAAGATCTAATTCACGTTTTTGAATTTGAATACAAGAAGACAGGAAAGTCATTTCTCTATAAAACTCCTCTAAGTTAGCTGTACTGTGATCTTTTAGCCATGTAAGTTTTCACCTCCCATGTCTATTTTCCAGTCTTCTCTTACTCAGAAAAATGAAGTTACTGCTACATGCATGATCTCAAACCTAAGTAGGAATACTGGCGTATCGACAACAATGTAATTGCATGGGATCTCCACCCACCTCACCCCCTCCCCTTTTTTTTAAACAAAAATAAATGTAGCATTAATTAGTAATTGTTTTAGTAACTTACATTTATAGCTGATGGATTGAGGACAAGTTTGCATCCAAACCAAATTAAACACGTTGTTGTAACAGCAAATGTAGAGACAAACAGAATCTGAAAATTGGGTATCTGAAAAACAGTTTCAGAATGGGTTTATTTCTCATTTTAACCACAGGAAAAAAGAAAAAGATATAATTGCCAATAAATCTTATACTTACCACATTAATTTTATTCCTTGCTATAGCAAAGCTCACAACTGCTGAAGGAATACACTGGGAAAATTAAAAGAGAAGACTAGTGGGATATTCTGCACAAAGAATTTTATATATATTTCTATATATGTATTTTATTTAATCTGAATTCATATTTCAGTTAACTTAGACAAACAGAAGATCAGAAACTCTGAGGGAAGTCTGTCACTCTTGTATGAGCTCATTAATTACAATCGGTATCTGAGGATTACAAGAGGTTTAAATATACCTTCCATATTCCTCAGTTTTTACTAACTACCCAGCACAATGTGATGAGTAAAGGAAAGAAAGTCTTTCATGAGGCATTTCATGCCTTTGTTAGTTTAAATTAACTCTAGAAGGCCTGAGATCCTTGAGCCGGAAAAGAAAAACCCTACTACTCCCCAACTGGGCCTCCACATTCTTTTAAACAGACAAAGTCACAGTTGTGTAAGCTAAAATTTGTCCAGGCTCAACAGAGTTCTGAAGAACTTTGTAAAAACTGATCTGCTGAGTCAAATTACACTTTTGGAATTGTGCCTGGGATCTCCACTGTGTTCACTAGGAACTGAGTTTCTATACTTCATTTAGCAGAGCTAAATGGAAAAATCATACATAAGTGAAAAGTTTCACAAAGTAATTCATCTATCCCTTAGCTGTTTCCCACAACAGATATGGTACCATTACAGATCCAACTCTATTTTACACAACTACACAATGTTATAACATACTAATAAGCAAAATAAAAATATGCTCAACTCAAATGATTAAAAATGTTTCCATGTTAAATAATGAATCATGTAACAAATGCAACATTTCTTTACTGATTATCTTTTCACACATCTGAACACTGATGGCTTAACTACGGAACCACTATAACTAGGTTAATATTGACATCTAAAATTCTTGGCATCACTTCCTTAACACCTATATGACCTGTATTAAACATAATTAAAACATCCTTGTATGTCCTGGATACCCTAGAGTCTCTAGAACACTACATGACCATGTTTGGGCAACTGAATCGTACTAAGTCAAGATGGTTAAAAAAGTCTAGAGAGCAGTTCAGCTCATTCTAAACTAGACACTTAGTGGTCAGTTGGCTCTCTAGGCTCTTCCACCTCCATTATATTGATTCCATTATCAATAGCAGGAGCCATAACACCTTGCTCACATACAGGCACACAAATGTACACATCCTTACCTACAGCAAGCCACTCAAACCCAGTGTGATAACCTTCTGTATCTACCATGTCTTTGGAAATTCTCAGTAAATACAAAGTTGAAAGAGACAAGAGTTGGGGCAGAAAGAGAGACATCTCAGTAATTAACACTAATGCTGCAGAGAATAACGCATCAGTGAAGATATTAACTTCAAAAACTGCTTCAACTTTATTCTAGCACCTCGAGCAGAAACATAAGCAACAACTCATTCACAGAGCAACACTTGGGACTTGGTTGTTTAAAGTAAAGCATTACTCCTGCACCTAACTTAAAACAAATCTGCAAGTCAAGTTGCAAAAACAACGACAGAACAGAATCTTGCCATGGGCAAAGCAAGTACATCAGACTCATCTTATGTACATAGATCTAAAGTGTAGATTTAGCATATATAACACAGTAAAAAAATGAGTCCCTAAAAATACAGTAAAAAATACTGGACTTTGGAAAATGTCAGACATCTTTAAAGCATACTTTACTAATAAAATAATAATATTCAAGAACACTTTAGTCTGCTTCAGTACTTTGATATTATGGAAAAATAAACTGAAAAAGTAATACTTTGAAATGTAATCTAAAATACATTCTGGTAGCATTTAGCCAGGAAATTCCCCAAACATATAACAATGCAAATTTTCTTAAAATCAAGCACAGAAAAAACTGTTTGTGCAGATAACTACTGCATGCCAGCGGTGAGCTGGTTAATGAAAATGGTAGCACAAAGCAGTTGTCTTTATGGCAACTGTTATTCTCTTAACCATGGGATGAAAACCCATTTAATGGACTGTTTATAGAATTAAATCTTCCATGAAGCAAAAAGACAGACAGAATAAAAAGACAGTAAACCCACAAAAATTATTTACTATTGATTTTGCTGTCAAACATCCACAGCAAATAATTAAGAATGCTTACTGAACCTGCTGCACAACGTAAATAATCCATTTCAGATGGAAAAATATTTCCCAGATATAATGAAAATCCAGAAGTAATAAGGAGGCAAGTCTGCAAAGCAACAAATAAGATAAATGAATACAAATAAAACTTTTTTTAAAAAGCAGCCAGTCAGAAATCAGTAATTCCTTCCAAATTAAGGTCCTGATGAGCATTTAATAATGTAGTCTTTGTGTGAATAATTTTGAAGAAAAATATGAAAACATGCTGAGTTCTGAAGATGATGTTTTGCTGGTTACCAAGACTTAACACTGAACAACATAATCATGTTTGAATCAAGCATTGTGCCCTGACTTGGCAAACACTAAATAAAATGCTCAAAAGGTTACTGCAGTATTCAGTGGTAAAAATGTTTCAGAAACCTCAACTAAGCAGCTACTTCGCATTCTCTGCTTGACTCCATCAACATTCATTATGCATACGGGCACCCCCAGCAACAAAAATAATATTAGGACACATTAATGAAGAATCTTCCACCTATATTCCTGCCTCCCTCCAAACTCTCTTCCTGCTTTGGTCCAGTGGCACACCCATAAATGTTCATCTCCTCCTGTTCCCTCGCTAACTACTTTGTTTACTTTACAATTATCAGAATTACACTCTCAGCAATAAATTATTAGTTTATTCTACTAACATTTCTTCTTTTTGCTTGTTGTTCCTCTGAGTAGGCATTTCTTTGAAGGGGCTGGGGAAGATGAGACAGAATGACTCTTTAGTTTTATTTGGGCATTTTTTTCATGTTACAAAATTATGGGGGTCTTTAAAAAGTCCTTGTCAAAAAATGACAGAATATAAGGGTAGCGTGCGTGTATACAAGCACACATACAGAGAATCCTGGCAGACTGGAAGAGCAGTATTTATAGAACACAACTTGAAATTGTGCTTGAAGCATACTGAATTGTTCCCGCACAAGAACAGCCCATACTAGCAGCCACTTTGATGTCACTATGGTTTGCAACTGCTCGCTGAAGTAGACAGTTCTGTTCACTGTGACTTCTGTTGCTCAGCATACAGACTTTCCTTTCTGGACACTGTCTTGCAGAAGAGTTGAAAGAGATTAACCACTATAATTCTTGGGAGAAAAATCTAATTGGAATTTATTGGATTAGTCTATTAATAAAATTGAATTTTCATTTATCCATAAAATTCATGCTTCTTGATAATATGACTTTAGTTACCATTATAAATAACCATTAAACATTAGTATCTCAAATCATTCACAACAGCTCAGAAAAAAGGAAAAAAATCTAATTAAAGATAGTTGTCCTTTTTGACAATTAAGTTTGGGAAAATTTAATGCAAAGAAACACAGCTCTTCTTTTGTTCTTTTTTTATGTAACAATACATCTGAAAGGAAATTCATGTTTTTCAGATTGTCAGAAAGGAATACATGGTCAGCTGTTTCCATGGAAATAAGGCAATACTTTTATTCACTGTGCAAAACTAAGTAACAGTGAAACATTTTAGCTCTTAATAAAAATTACTCTTCAAAACATGAGCTGAGAGAAAAACACAAGATCAAATTCTAATTGCTATAATGAACTTCAATTAACTTGGCTCCGAACATGAAGAAGCATATGACGTACATGCAAGATCAGTGTCCTGTGATTCCAGCAGTGACACAAAAATTCAAATCACTGTGACGTTCATGTAAGAAACACAAGTATATACCTCACTACATGAAGATTCTACCAAATAACTACATGACTACTGAACCCTGAAAGATGAATGTGGCAGTTAAGTACTGTGTATATTTTTAATGCCAAAATGCTATCACAGCAAGTACAGTATTTTAACAGTTAAAAATATGTTAAAAGAATGCATATGATCAGGATACTTTACATCCTTTACAAAACGGCACTGCTTATACACACATATGGGTTATTATTTACCATTACCATGCTTATTCTCTGTTTATGCTCCATGATTGATATTAAAGATAAAAATAAGCCTTCATATAGCATCTTTGACTGGTGCAGAATTATCCAAAGAATGCCATTAGTCAATCAAGTATTACATTCTAAATTTGCTGAATATATTCATTTCTGTGCAAATATTTACATTCAGTGCTATTAGTGATGAAATTCTGGGTCCCCAAATGATGTGAAACAGAACAGGTTACTGGGCACTGAGACCTCATCTACGCTTTTAAATTTTGTACCCTTAAAAGTACTTACTCCCATCAGCAAAGAAAAGATCCATGTTCTGTAACTAAAGCAAGGATGCAGCCTCTTTGATAGCTGAAGGTCACTGGATTTGATATCTGGTATATAATTTCCATTCTCTTGTTTTCCCCGCTCCAAAGTTGGCATCCTGTCATAGCTGAATTCTTCTCTGTAACCTTCTTCCCTGGTCATAACACTTCACAAAGGCCATTAAATAATAATAATGGAAATGAAAATGATGAAGAAAGACCAAAAATGTAATTTAGTTCCTTCACATACTCATATCAGTGCTCAATTCGGTTTTTGTCTACTGAAGATGAAATAAATAAAACCAATATTTAGTAATGAGCTGTATTTACATTTCAAAATATGTAAGCACTCTAACTTACTTGCATAAAATAAGTAAATTACATCCTATAGGCACAGTTCATAATAATACAGCATAGACACCAACAAAATGAAAGTTTGTGTATCTATGACACCTCAACAGACTTTTATTTCAAGACTTAAGAACCATTTTTGTAGGTGTTTAGTTTGAGGGTAACTCTATAACCATAACTCTATATTCTTTTTCTTTTTTTTTTTTTTTAAAAAACTCTAAGACAGAGAAGACATTCAAATATGTTTAGATACTAACTTCCATTTGATTTTAACACTTCTTATCAGGTATATAAAATGACAGCCTTCACTATGACGATTCAATGATTCTATGAGTCCGATGAACCCATATACTCACAGTAACTAAGCTACAGCAAACTGTTTCTAATTTACCCAGTATCAACCATTTCTCTTGTTCACTTAGCCCTTTTTTGTTCATCTCATTGTTTGCCAATCTGTTCAAATACTTTGAGGAGTATCTTATATTAGAATTAAGTTACTGCAGATTTTTCAACAGTTAAAAACCTTCATGCTTACCTTCAACTGAAAAGTTAACTGTCAGTTTAAAAGAGTCTTGTGAACACAGCTGCCTGTACACTTTGTGATATTCTCACCGTTCAGTGAGTCATGCCGTCTTTGAAAAGTTCTCCCTTACACTTTGGCTTTCAACAACATCTATTCAGATACGGAACAAAAGCACAGCAAAAACTTCAGTTAAGCCAGGGAACAGGAAAATGCCTCCTGAATTTTAATTAACGGAACACACTAGAAAATGACTGTACTACATTCTCATAGGGCTGCTTCCAAATCAGACCAACAAATTAAAAAAGTTTCAAGTCTCTTTTTTGAGTACTAGCCCGTATTTGGCATCTTAAATAAAACCGTCCTCATAGTTTAGCAGTTTTAGTTATCAGAATAGCCAGTGATAACGATATTCAACAAAATAGTTTTTGTTTCAAAAGATCAAAAGCTACTTACAATGCAGTGTTCTCCTGAATAAACTACAGATAAAAATTCAAGTATTCAAGTATCCCAACAAGTTGGGAGGTTAGAAATCTATCAAGAATATTATTTTCACTGTAGAACTCATCTTTTTCTACTAACTCTAGTTTAGATTCTAGAGTGTTCAGATAAACCCTGCACGCTTCAACTGTGCTGACATTCATACTCACAGAACACCATGATGACTAAACACATACTTTAAATCTAGCAGGCAGCAGTGACATGCAATGGCCAGCATACATTGGATCCAGTCCTCCTGCTTATTAGGCAATGAAAAAAAAAAAAGAAAAAAAAAAAGAATGCTTTTATCTTGAAGATGTTGGCACCTTGACAGCTACAGCAATGACAGGGTCTTTTGTCTAAACTTTAAACACTCTTGTAACCAAGACACAATTAAATCTTCAGTACTCTGAAGGGCATCACCTTTAAAGTACGCTAGAAAAACTTTAGAACAGCACTACTTCTCGAGTTGTACAGACTGCAGATTTTGCTCTTACCATAACGACAGCCAATCCTGAAAGAATATTAAAATGTTACACTTGTTTGAATCGACTGAAACATGGAAATTCATACAGGACACACAGCACTAGACACAGTTCTAAACTGTGTTAGAAAAAGGGGATAAAAAACACTGTATAGCCAAGCAAAACTGTCTTAATTAAGCCTTCTTGTTCCTCTGTTCACTGAAGAAACACTATGCAAATATTTCCTTTAGCTGCAACTTTTCAAAGACTGTGGTTTAATGGAAAATGTGTAATACTTCATGTATTTTTCAGTGATTTCTAGGTACTGGTTTGCTCCAACACAAATTACCAGATATAAAATAGGGTATTTGCCATTTTCCCTTTTTGCACAGAGGCTTACCACACAGAACTGTATTCTCTGCGTTTGCCATCAGTGTCAACAAAACCCACTTAAACTTCACCGTTCAGTTTCTACACTAAAATTTTTCCAGGTCCCTTATTTAGGTTCCCTTCATTTCACATTCCTGATTCCATAAAAAGCCTTGGTGTATACACAATTTTGGTGTATACACAACCACAGGGCAAGATCTGGTAGTCAGAACCCAAGTCACAGGCCAAGACCTTATAATGCTAGGTACCATACAAAGGTGGGAAAATTTCTCCTAATTCTAAAGAGTGCATAGGAAACTGTCCTGGTTTCAGCTGGGATAGAGTTATCTTTCTTCATAGTAGCTGGCATAGTGCTGTGTTTTGGATTTAGGATGAGGATAACGTTGATAACACACTTGTTGCTGAGCAGTGCTTACACTAAATCAAGGACAGTTTTCAGCTTCCCCTGCTCTGCCAGGTGCACAAGAAGCTGGGAGGCGGCACAGCCAGGACAGCTGACCCAAACTGGCCAAAAGGTTATTCCATACCGTATGACGTCATGCCTAGTATATAAGCTGGGGGAAGAAGGTGGGGATGTTCAGAGTGATGGCATTTGTCTTCGCATTGTATGTGATGGAGCCTTGCTTTCCTGGAGATGACTGAGCACCTACCTGCCAATAGGAAACAGTGAACGAAATCCTTATTTTGTTTTGCTTTGCTTGTGTGCGCGGCTTTTGCTTTACCTATTAAACTGTCTTTATATCAACCCACGAGTTTTCTCATTTTACTCTTCTGATTATCTCCCCCAACCCACTGTGGGGGGAGTGAACCAGCAGCTGTGTGATGCTTAGTTGCTGGCCAGGGTGAAACCATGACAGAAACCTACACAAAGACTGCAGGAAATATCACAATGCCAACAGAACATTACAGGCTCCTGAAAAAGGATTTACAAATAGAGGTTTTTTATTCTAAGTTAGGCCAAAAGATGTCAAGGGATGACAATCAAATCAAGTCCAGTCAAATCGTGAGAGGCTACAAAGAACTACTTACTTCCAGCACTGAAATGACCACTGACCAAGTTCAGACTGCCTGAAGCAGCTATAGCAGATACCAGGCCATTTGCCAGGGCTGTGCCATGTGAGCATCCACAAAAGATAAAAAACAGATTGACAATTATAACTGATCTGTCAAGGGACAATATCATAAAACAGTACATAAACTTGATATAGTCCTACTTTTGTATCAGTAAATAATAAAAAAGCATTCTGTCCTGGACCAGCTTCCCTAGCACGGAACCCAAGCTCCTGCCCATGTTCCCAAATCTAAACGCAAAAATACACAGGATTTGAAGCTCTGGTGGAATTTATGTTTACCATGCTGACCAACCCTTCCTTTCTCTGATGTGTTTTTACTAGTTACACTACCTATACATTCTTTCACACAATATTTAATTACATTATTTTAGCTCATTACCCGTATTCCTTTGTTCAATATTTTCAGCTCTTTTAAAATCAGCTCTTTGAAGTATTTTGTTTCTCTAAGGTTGATTCCTCAATCCTTGTTTCGCAACTTATGTCTTGGGGCACGTACTGAACCAAGAGCAAAATGTAGGCCCAATAGCTTCAAAGGGATGTGTTGCTCCCCTAGTAGAACATAAACTTCTTTGGATTTGGTCCTTCACGTGAATCATCACCTGTTCAACAGTTTAAACAGGTTCTATAAGTATATATACCACCCATTGTATGCTATTAAAATACAAAATACTTCTAGTTTTATGGATGTCATAAACACATCGTGTTAGCATTTTTAAAGGACATCCAGTCTTTTCTGCCCAGGCTATTTTCTTGCAATAAGATTCCTGAGCAGCACAGCCTGGGAAGGCTATTATGAACTACAGGATCTTAAGACAGGAATTTATGCATGTATAACTACTCCCCTCCTCCTGAAAAACAACAACTTCTCCTGTCACAGTTTTGCCAACCAACACTGCTCTGCCTGCACTCCGCAGGAATCTTAGTGAAAGAAGAGGGTAGTTAAAATGCTTTAAATCAACATATCTCAGAGTGGAGGCTGTCACTCCCTCAGCACTTTTCTAAAAAGATCACAGACACTCATACACAGTTCTCCTCCCAATAGCATCACCTCAGTTACTTCAGAGCAAGACACCGGAACCTGTGTGCGATTACTGACAACCAAAATTTCTTCTGGTCTAGAAACCACACAGAACTCTATAAAAGTGTTAAACAATATGCAACACACTCCTAGCCTTTCTTTGCCTACATAATGCTGAGCTAACCATACGAGTTGAAAATAAAAGGTTGCCAAAGACAACTGCTAGTCTAGTCTCAGAATCTTACCGCAGACTACGATGCCTTTCTGTGACAAACAGCCATGAAGTAGCTTCCCGTAAGTATACGCTGCTCTGCTCAGCTTCCTGAAACTGTCTCCTGTAAGTCTTACACTGCAGTTCCCCTTGAAATTACTGGGATGCAGAGCTCATCAGCTCAAAAACTACGCTTTGTGAAACACTATTTGATAAACAAAATATAAAGGGTGCTCATACAAGATTCCCAAAGTGCACTGCATGAGGAGAACCAGTAAAAATACCAACTATGGAAATAAGCAAGTCGGTAAAATTTTATTTCCGCTGGAGCCACAGCAGCTCCTACATGAATGATATTAAGACAAAAATACTATTTTTTCTGTTAGCCAAGTTTATAATGTTCTAAACTTTATCATTTTCAAACTGGATGCTACTGAGATTATAGCAATTCAATAATATGCCATTTGCACTGGCATAGGACGTCCCATGTACTCCATTTTAGCACATCGGACAGTCTCCGTGGCTGACTTACTCTCAGCCCACGTGAGATGGCAGCCCGGCCGTGGGTTTTGCCTGCTCGGGCCTCCTCACCTACAGAACCCCAGAAAACCTGCCACGCACTGCGCTGCAATTCCAGGCAGCATCACCAGCAACCAACAGGCTCTGTGCAGCCCTTCAAGCTTTTTGTGCTAACCACACACGACACCATCTTTAACGCCTCCTCCACGCCTGCCGCCCTGAAACCCTACAGACGGAGGGCCTCTCACCCTCCTTTCCGCCTACG